TGAGGTGCTCAATGTCCCCACTTATTTAAACACCTCGTTTCCAGTGTCTATCCCTGCCTCCCACCCTACCCCTACCCCCACCCCCGCTCCGAGTGCCCTAAAGCTGGCTCCTGGATTCCTTGCCTAGTCCGTAGGAAGTCACCAATTTCATACATAATGGGTTCCTGAAAACAAGTGTTCATGTGGAAGGAGACGCTTACCGGATAGAAGGAGGCGTTCTGTGCCCATAAAGCTGAAGAGGACCATAAAATCCCTAATTAACCTTGTATTCGCAGCTCATCTCCGGGTGATGTATTCTCGGCATTTTGTACCCACATGTTCTTTCTTTCACAGTCGAAAATGGGCAATGACCTAAGTCCAATGAGGCTAAAGATTTGCCATTTCAGCATGCCCATTGATTTTCACCTTTATCTCAATTAGATTGAGCCCTGTGGTGATCAATTTCAAGATTCATTTTTCTATTTATCCTCATAAAACGTGAGAAGAGTATAATAAAAATATTCAGATCATTATAACGGCCAGGGAGAGTACTGGTAAGTAGAATAAAGCTGCTGGAAGGTAACTGCTGGCTGGCGGGCAGCCCCCCTGGACAGTGGCCTGAAACATCCGGGGGTCCTCTTCGCAGCCCTGGGGGGGGGGGCGCCGCCCCATCTCCTCCCCTCACCATGGCCATCCCAATGTTTACAAGCTCCACATATCTTTCCTCCAGGTACAGATCAAATCCAAAATTTGACCTCTAATGACCTTCGCACCAAAGCCACCATCCTCTCCCTTTCTTGTCCCCTCACTGAAGCCCAGCTCCTGTTCAGAGCCCTTTGGTACACTGGCCCCGACTTTACCTTCAACGCAGAGTACAGGTGAGCTGTCCCTTACTGCCCTCCATCTCTTTTCCCATTTTGGAAATTCCACTCAATTTGGAAACCTTTCCCAGATTGATTAAAGAAGAGCTGGCCCGGCCAGCGTGACTCAGTGGTTGAGCGTCAAAAAAAATCCCCCCCCCACCCTTTATCATCTCTCCCCCCAACTTTCTGTGGAACCCTCCCCAAGTCCCATCTTTGTCCCTGCAAAATATATTCATTCTGGGCCTGTTTCTGGGCCTTCACCGCCCATTCGGGTGCTCAGTTAACACAACGCTGTGTGTTACTGTGTGTCACCCGTGTGGATGCATCCCTATCGCTGCACCGTCTTTGGTTTCAAACTCCATGGAAGCCAGGACGTGGGGTCTCCTCTGGCATTCCAGCATGTGCCAGAAGCATATGAATCTTCTCTGGTCATAATGAGCTAAGGGGAAGCCAGTTTTCTCAGACATGAGTCGCAAATGGAAATCTTTACACCAAACACTACGAGGCCCGTGACCTATTGGCTATTGTGGTGACTAATCTTTCCTTCTCCTAGGTGCTGCCTTATGCAGAGCCATTGACAAGAGACTGACTTTCTGTGTCAAGCAAAACTAGCTCCAACCACAAGGAGCTGAACTTCCTGGGCTCCGGGAAAAGCTTTTAGCAAACTCAATGCTGCCGGCAGATGCAGACAGACAGCAAGTGCAAACCTCCCGTCCCGAGGCCTGAACCACCACGGCAGCTAATTAGGCGACAGAAAAATGCAGAGCGTTTCATAGCATCAGTTTCCGGAGTTATAAGGAACCAACTATTTCTCGGAGCTGTCGCTAGGATATAGAGTTCCTCTTAGAAACCCCAATTTCCCTTCCAGGCGTCATTCAAAACAGACAGGGGGAAAAGGAAAATCAATACTGGAAATGCCAGGGATTCTGCCGGCCAGCGTCTCATGGAAATCTCCCTGTGCTTCTGCGGATCAAACAGCGTCTTCTCTGTGTGCAGTCCGGAGATAAGCACCATTTCCACGCGCGCTCCCCCTGCCCGCCCCTCGGGGCATTTTCATTATTCTCCGCTGAAGATTTTCTTTCTGTGACTCTTTCTTTAAAGCTGCAACTTCAACGTGTTCACCTCCAAAAGCCGAGCCATGGAGGGTCCCAGGTTCAATTCCAGTCAAGGGCACATGCCTGGGTTGTGGGCTCGATCCCCAGTAGGGAGCGTGCAGGAGGCAGCCAATCAATGATTCTCTCTCATCATGGATGTTTCTATCTCTCTCCCCCGCTCCCTTCCTCTCCGAAACCAATAAAAATATTATTTAAAAAAAGATTAAAAATAAAAAAGTGGCTCCGCACCCACATGAGACATAAAACCCACATGTAAATAAAGTGTCTAGGATAGCCTTCTTTCCAGTCTAGCACCTGAAGTTCTGGAAAACCCCAGATTCGAAACTGCAAAAACCTGGTCCCACCCCACACCCCCAGAGACTCAGCATCCACCCAGCAGTTCCTCTGATGAGCTCGCAATAGAAAATGCCATGTGGTTATTAGCTGCGAAGTGTCTGGCATGCTTCGCAAGCAGCCTTAACCACCCAGCAAACCTCAGGGCCTCCTCAGATAAACAAGTCCCCCCCCCAAAATGTCCTGCCCCACCTGTCCTGAGGGTGGCCCCCCGTGCCAAAAGGCGACTGACATTTAAAACTTGGTTGAAACCACACCAAACCCTGTCTATTTTAAATGTCAACGGGGAAGGCAGCTGGGCCGGCAGGCTTCTCCAAGACCCACCGTAAACCCACTTCCCTGTAGTGAGATTTAAAAATCAGTCATTAGAGGCAGCAAGAGGAGGGAGTGAGGACAACACTGACCTTAACGTCAAGGGCACCTGAAAGGACTCACATTTGTGACTAATTATCTCTTTCCTAATCTTTATGTCTGTCTCGGGGCAGGAGCTTTCTTTCCAGCAGTGAGACATCTGACCCAGTAGAATCCCAGGCATCTGTAAGGTCTTGCTTGGTCCACATTTAGAGTGGCCGTTTTCCACTGTGTGCGCGCATGCAACGCCTGGCATCTGTCATTCTTTTAAAGTGCACATAAAAGTTTATGCTTCCTGAATCATTAAAAAAAATAAACAAAAGGATGTCTGTGTTGTTTTTAAAACCTAAAAACTCTTTAAACTGCCTTAGAAGTACGTTCTCCTCAGATACAGAATAATACCATCAACCTGAAACCAAGATGTTATCTATTTTTCTGTCACTTTCCCATTAAAAGAGGTGGATTACACTTTAGAATAACAAATATGAATATATAAAATTTTTTAAATATTTATTGATTTCTTCAGAGAGGAAGGAAGGGAGGGAGGGAGGGAGGGGGGAGAGAGAGAGAGAGAGAGAGAGAGAGAGAGAGAGAGAGAGAAAGAGGGAAACAAATGATGAGAGAGAACCATTGATCAGCTGCCTCCTGCATGCCCCTACTGGAAATTGAGCCCGCAACCCGGGCATGTGCCCTGACCAGGAATCGAACCGTGACCTCCTGGTTCATAGGTCGACGTTCCACCACTGGGCCATGCCAGCCTGGGTGAATATATAAAAATTTAATGAATATGTAGTACTTCTTACTCTGTGCTAGTCCTGTTCTAAGCACTTTACAAATAATAATGTATTTAATCCTCACAACAATTATAAGGTTAGGTCCTATGACCCCTATTTTTACAGAACAGGAAACTAAACACAGGGAGGTAAAGCAACTTGCTCAAGGTCACATAGCTAGTAAATGGCTATGATGGGTGCTGAACCCAGGAAGCCTGACTCTGAGGGCCATGCTCTTGACCACCCCCCTCTGTTGTCCCCCATACACTAGTGCTGAGTGCTTCCTATGTGTTATTTCATATAAACCATACAGTGAGCTATAAGGTAGATCAGACCTTTATTCCCATTTTACAGATGAAGAAACAGAGGCACAGAAAGGCAAAGCAGCTTGCCCAAGACCACTCAGCCAATCAGTGGGCACTCTGACTCCATTCAGGTGCCATGGGACACCTCCCCATAGCCTTTCCTCATGTCCCTTTGGGTAGAGTCAGGAAGGCAGCTGTGCCAGTGATTAGAAACCATTCTCTGCCCAGAAGTTGTGGCTCAGTGGTTGAGTGTCAACCCATGAACCAGAAGGTCACGGTTCGACTCCCAATCAGGGCACATGCCCGGGTTGCGGGCTTGGTACCCAGTGGAGGGCGTGCAGGAAGCAGCTGATCAATGATTCCCTCTCATCATTGATGCTTCTATCTCTCTCTCCCTCTCCCTTTATCTCTGAAATCAATAAAAATATATTTTAAAAACGAAAGAAAGAAAGAAATCATCCTTTAATGGAACCTGGAACTCGTTTGCCCCATAACAATCATGTTTAGGCAGGAAAAACATTACATCATCTGATACAATTCCATCTTTAACAGAGCAGACCAAGACGCTTCCCCACAAGAAATCACTTGGCTAAAGGGTACATATAATTAACCCAATTAGATTGCCACACAGAGGGGCGGGAGGGAAAGTCACTAGAGAAGCAGTTTTCAAAGTGTGGTTTGGGGTTCCCTGGGGCACCGGTCAGACCTTCTCCACATGGTCCAAACTATTTCCTTAGTGACACCGGGCTGCTATCTACCTCGCGTCCTCCGGGAGTGTCCTGCGGGGTCCTCCAGAGACACGCCCCACAGATCGCCACAGACTGAGCGGGAAGATTCGAGGTTCCAGCACCCCTCTAGGAAGCCAGATGGGGCGGAGATTTGCAAACATACCAAACAATGCCACTCTTCTACTTTTTACACTGAAAGTTATTTTTCATAAAAGCGCTGTTTATGCCAACATGTACTAGGCTTATGATTAAGTGAATTACGGCACATGGTAACATTTGTTGGGTTTAATTCCTATGGTGAATGAAGGTAGAGCTAATCCAATAAGATAACATTTTAAGCGCATAAAAGGATCTTGAGACCAAAGACCCCAGGAACCACAGCCTGAGATGGTGACGTCCGTAAGAGCGGGACCATCCGTACCCCACGCCCCGTGCCCTGCAGGAACTCGGGACATTGAACGAAGACCCAGGTATAAGTAGGAGTAGGGGCCATCCTTTTAGGTACACGTCCCCACAGGCACAATAATGATGATGCTCAGACCCACACACTTACCTGGAAATAGTCTGTAATGAACGCTCCGAGTTCACTCTTCAGCAGCCGCCTGGGGAGAGAGAAACACCGTCAAGCAGCCCTCGATGGTACAGCTCCCGCTGTCCGGGTCACGGACACAACACAATGACGGGTGCTGGGCAATGACAGGGGTCCGGCCAGGCCTCGGAGGGTGAACTTTCCCCGGCCCCAGTGATACCGCTCCACCAATGTTCTCAGGGAACTGGGGTGATGAACATCTTACAGGGGGTCTGCTCCTTAGCTCACAAACACAGCCTTCTCAGGAAGGCAGTCACTGGAGGTCCCAGAAATGGAGCTGGTAAAGGCAGGCAGGGCGCCTGGCTTCATGTGAAATCAACCAACAAACAAAATACCAAAAAAGAGAAAGACCACAATTGTGCAAGCCCCCACATTTGCAGACTTTACAGCCTAAATGCATTTTTCGTGCATTCTTCAACCAAGGATTATAAAGTCTGGTTAGAGGGAGGGGCAATGATTACCCCTCCTACATAGATAAAGAAATTGAGGCACAGAGAGGTCCCCTAAACAAGTCAGTGGCCGAGTTAACATTCAAACCCAGACCTTCTGCAAACTCAACATCTCTTCCCATAACCCCACCCCGTCTCTCCTCCAAATCCATGGGAGACATGCAAGGTGGTGCCATGTTTGGGCGGTCCTACCGCCCATCCCCGAGGGACTGTGGCAGTGGGGAGGGGACCACAGTGGGGAGGACAGAGCTTATGTGTCCAGGCAGCGAACAGCTACTGCCTGTGATGTGCCAGACATTGTTCCGGCCCCTGGCGCACAGGAGTGAACGGGACAGGGGAGGCCTCGCTCTCATGCAGCTTCTATTCCAGGGGGAGGAGAGTGGACAGATAGCTTGTCAATCAACACCCTCACAAGATAAGTTCAAAGAGTCCCAGTGCTAAGAAAAAAAAACGAAAAAAAGGGCTGTGGGCACCCGCTCTCCTTCTCCTTGTGACAAATGATGGGACTCTCCCTATTGCTCTTCCCTTAATTGGATCCAAACCAGGTGAGGGAGCTACAACCAAGACTAACAGGCTCCCAGGTCCAGGGAGTTCCCTGGGACAGGCTTCCTGAGTTCAAGACCTTCCCCATCGGGTATCGTCACATAGAATTATCTATCTGAACAGTGTCGGCCCTCTCTGATCATTCAAGCCCTCCCTCTCTTGTCCTGGGTGGGCAAGTCAGTAAGCTCCTCTGTCCCTTACGAAACCCCGTCTTATTCCTGCCCGAGCACATTACAGGCTAGACAGGGTCTCTGCCTGTGTGTGCACAGTGTTCCCTGCAGCAAAACACAGGAATCAACCTGAATGGGCATCACGGAGGTGCTCCCAGGAAAAGTGTGCTCCCTTCAGACAACGGGATTCCACGCAACTGTGAGAAAGCAAGAGGGGATGCAGAAGTGCGCTGAGCAATGCTATGAAAAGCTCTAAGTTACGTGAAGGAAAGAGAAAAACGCAGGATGCGGAACCATGTGGGTAACACGCTCCCTTGTGAAAAAGGGAACAATACACATTTTTATTTACACAATGTCAACCAATTCATCTGTCAAAACTGCTCCCACTTGCTTACTCTGGAATGGCTATGTGAGTTGCTTCCCAGGAGGCTCTCGGTGCTGAAATTAGCACCTTGATTTTTAAACACGCACAACACACGTACATTTTAAATATTATGTATAAATGCACTGGGTTTTGCCCAGCCTGCGTGGCTCAATGGTTGAGCATCGACCTATGAACCAAGAGGTTGAGGTTCGATTCCCGGTCAGGGCACATGCCTGGGTTGTGGGCTCGATCCCCAGTGTGGGGCGTGCAGGAGGCAGCTGACCAATGATTCTCTCTCATCATTCTATCTCTCTCTCCCTCTCCCTTCCTCTCTGAAATCAATAAAAATATATATGTATTTTTTAAAAAAAACATCTTTTTATTAACAATCACCGCCACAAAGGTGACCTGGATGGCTTGAAGCCCAGAAGAAGTGGTGGCAGGGAGTTCCCATCAAGGGCACAGTAGCAGGAAGCAGGCTGTCCTAGGGCCCTCAGAGAATCCCACAGTCCCTCAGGCTGGTAACCAGCAAGCTTAACCCAGAGCGAGGGAGGGTGAGGAGAGGGCGGAGCTGGCCCAGCCGCCAGGGAACAGACCAGAGCTGAGTCATATGCAAAATCCACCTTCTATTTCTATACTCTGTGTTTATTCTGCTCGGGCTTGGTTTACAAGGAAAGGATGCTTCGGAAAACTCTAGAGAAAGAGGGATTTTCCACCCCTCTGACTCGAAGCACCGCCTCCAGGGGGAACGGGGCAGTGGCATCCCCCAACGGAGCGGAGCGACTGATGGAGAATAGGGAGGCTGGGAATTCCTAGCCTTTACCGAAAGCCTGCGCTGTGTTAGACATGGTGCTAGGAGCCAGAAGGAGAGGACAAACCCGGAGCTCGGACACGATTTCTTCCTAGCGCCTCCTTCTCCAAAACTTGGGAGTCCCAGACCTAAAATCGCAGAGGGACAACTCGCCCCGCCCCCTGCCCCACTAAGTGAGCCAGTTCAGCGTGGAGAGCACCAGGAGGAAGAGAGGCAGGAGGAAAACAACAGAGTGAAGGAGCCAGTGGTTTGTGGTTGCCTGGATGCAAAGAGACGAAAACCCCCATGCTAGGATGTGCACTCCTCCCGGCACAGCGGCCTGGCATCCCGCAGCCTCCTTCCACCCTTCCCACCCTTCCCCGGGAAACAGGAAAGGAATGACTTCTTGGAGCAAAAATAGATGACAGACAGACAGACGGGCAGATAAATGAATAAGGAATAAAAACCAAATTGCTGCTTGGATGAGGCCTGGCTTTTCCCCCCAGTTCAAGTTTACTGAGCGCTTACTAAGTAGCAGGCACCGTTGTCAACAAGGTCCATGTGCTTCCTCATTTAAGGCTAAAACAAAACTCTACATCAGTAACATCAGTAGCAGTAACATCTCCACTTTCCACACTCAAGGAAAGGGACCCTCGGAGGTGACCGGGGAGCGCGGGCAGCAAGCCCATCCTGGAGAGGAACCTCGCTGGCGGCAAGGGCCTGGAGGCAGTGCCGGGGGCTGTAGCCTGAGCGATAACCTGTGCAGGTGCAAGTCACACGGAAGTCCCTTGTGGCTGTTTCCTCAGTGGGAACTTGGGGATATAGAGAGACGGACTCCATAGGATGCTGCAGGGGCTGAAGGAATTAACCCTAGACTGGGAGTTCCTAGTGCTCAGCAGTGAGTGTTAGCTGGGAGGGTTCGACCCAGGTCGTCTGACCCCCAAGCCCATACTCCTCTAACAGCTCCATTCTCCTGGCATCTTAAGAGTATCGCCAGACTAGTGATTAACCTGGCGTTAAGGACCCAGGTGAAGCTCACGAAGGGGGCCGCAGCGTAGGGGCCAGACCACCCCGATAGAAGGTGGAATGAAGACGATGGGGGCAGAGCTCAGGGGAAGATTGTGGTGGAAGTAACATCCCAGCTTACGTGGCTCCCATTCATCTCCTTCACACATTGGACTTCCAGGTTGCATTTGAAAACAGGATCCTGCTGCCACCCACCAGCTGCGAGGAGAAGGAAGTGGGGGCCTGAGACGGTGGGAAAAGAACGTTTCTGTGGGACCCAGCCCCAAAGGGAAGCGGGGCATGAAGTTCGGGCAGAAGCCAACAGGACCACAACAAACAAACGAAAAATGGGGAACCGCTCACTGTCTGCATTATCTCATCCCCGGTCCCTCCCAGGCTGACCCGGTGAGACACCACCGCGGAGGACAGGGTTTCCTGTTGTTACATGACCCGCCGTCTTACCCCTCATGCCCTTGTCAACTCAGCTTCCCACTTCTGGGGCTTGAAGGTAAGGGAGGCGTAACCGGAGCTGGGGTCCGGCTGGGTGAGAGGCACAGGGGTGGCAGGATGGCAGGAGAGTGGGGAGCAGCAGAAATGAGGTAGAGAAATCCGTTTGATGCAAGCCACCATCTCCCGTGTGCACCCAGAAAGACCCAAGGCAGCAACACCCCAAAGGAGGACGAGGCAGCTCGGAGGTAGGTCAGTCAGCACGAGTCAGGACACCTATTAGTTGCTCAATATCTCCGTGCCATTCGGCAATTAGGGGCCACCCCCAAGTGGCCAGACCCTCCGCCCTGACCCCTTGGCGGGATCCTGCGCAGCCTCCTCATGGACCAGCAGGGGCCCCGGGAACCTGGGCCTGGCCTGTAGCAGGTCAGTACCTACCCAACCTGGTCGCTAACCCCGCCCCCCCGCAAATGACCCACCTCGCTTCTGCAGCAGGAAATGTTTCGAGCCATAGTGCATGGAAACACCCCTTCCCTCCTCGGTCCACTGTGGGGCCCATCGGAGGTGGGTGAAATGCTAGTACCCCCACCCCTGTTTCTGCACCCCAGTGGGTGGCAGTGGGGACAGTGGAAAAGATGGAGAAAACCAACAAAGAGCATTTCCCGAGCTCTGGGTTGAGGTGGTAGGAGATGCTGGGCCGCTGGCACTCAGCATCCCGAGTTCTCCCACAGCCTCTCGGGGAGGAATGCATCCTCGCTGTGCAGGTGAGGGGAGCAATGCTCAAGCCCTGTCCAGGGCCTAAACGGGAAGATCCCAACTCAAACTGAGGCAGCCTGAACGCCAGCCAGTGGCACCTCCCATGCCCACAGGGGCAGGCGCCTGGGCACAAACAGTGGGGCTGCAGCCAATGCCTCTATAGCCAGCAGCCAGGCTCCGGCTCCCGCTGCTGGGTACCAGGCCGGACTGTGGGTCCGGCATTGCCCTATATGAACGTCCCAGAGAGGCCTGGATTTTTAGGGGAGATGTCTTTTTCTAAACACTGTGCAGGCCAAACAGCATACAAGCCAGCCCTGGAGGTTTCAGATTTACCACTTCCCTCTAACTATTCATCCTACCCCCAAAGTCAAGTCTGTTTCTGAACCAGAGCAGACAAAAGGTGTCAACACACAGGCAGTCACCCGGGCCAAAATGAGAGAAGACCTTACTTACGCCCTCCCAAACTAGGGTCCAGGCTGGTGACCTCCC